TGCCAGGAACGTTCCGTGTTCAGGAGTGGCTTTGTTACGGCTGTACCGTAGTGGAGAAAAGGAAGTGACCGTCTGACTCAAAGGCTCGCGCGTGCTGTGTGGAGACGAACGGGTTGCCCACATTCTGGTTTACTGAGTTTTAGTTAGCTAGCAGGTTTTATTGTTTTGGGGTGCAGTCACTTTTGCCTCCACTTGCTGTTCAGAATAAATGTTGAAAGAAAAAGTAAAATCTGTTTACAGTTCTGTTTTATATGAGGTGTGAAGAAGAATTGGGAGGGATGAAACCCTCTTTAATGTGTCACCACATGCACGACACACAGCACACAGAGTGAAATGTGTTTCTCTGCTTTGTAACCATCCTAGTACCAGGAGTCTAGTACTAGGAGCAAGCTGGGGCAGCTTATTTTACGCGCTGTGTTGTGTATTGTCTATGTTGTTTAAATGTGAGGGGAAGGGTGTTTTTTTTTGTTGCCTGCTAAAGGGCACCACGCAGGGCATATATGTGGAGGTGAACTGGGACCTCTCCAAGTAGAAGTCAACACTCCAAATGTAGGTCTGGGTCAGGGCTTGAATCCGCGTACGCCTAGGCTCGCAGGGAGTCCAGCCGCCTACTGGACTGCCATAGATTTAGTCCCTAATTTGCTGCTCACAATGCACAGATGATGCAGTTAACTTCTAATCATTTAAAAAAGAAAATCTGTTCCCGGGGGAGGGCTCGCCCTCCGGACCCGCTCTAGAGGAGGGGTAAGAGGTCCGACCACCTGCCTCACAACTCCCGGTTAAATTGTCTCACCCACATTGAGGATGCTCGTATTGCGAGGTTTTTTATTCCATGTTGTCAAGTCAGCAAATTGGGTCAAAATGTTTTGCATCAATGATTGTTAACACTTAAAGTCACTATGGAATATATGCTGTAACTATTTGCTCTAGGCACTCAAGGGTCATGGTAATGTGATTACTATATGAATATATTTGTCCAAAATTAAATAAAAAATGCATAAGAGGTTTTGTGTTAATAACATACTTTTCGTCGCCGGGCCCGCCGATGACATGCCGGCGCATTAGGGGCCTGTCTGTCAGATTATTCCCTGAGCCAGCTTTTTCCCCCCAGGTCCGCCCTGTGCACGAAGCGCCACGGACGTCCCGAAAAATCTCCCGGCATTTTCAAGCCATGTTCCGTCCAGTCTTGGAAACATTCTGCGGGAGGAGCTATAATGTCGGGGTCACCAGTGTGTGCCGACGAGAAAGGGACCGTCAGAGGGCGGTGGGCATCGAAGGTACAAAGTTGGCTTTATTAAAGCAGGAGAAAAGCACAGTGTGGTCGAGCTTTGAAGACGGGGAGCCAAAGAGAAAGGAAGAAAGGGGGCAGCAAATTAAGTAGTCAAATTCATATGTGCCCGTGTGGGAAACAATACTCCCCAACCCGTAGTTCCATGAGTGAATTATGTAACCTAGATAATTAAAGACACTAACTACGATCAGTGTTTCACATTAGTAAGTATGCTAACACTCAAGAGCTAACCCATGGAGGCTAACGCTTAGGTACTGGAGATAAGTGATATGTGAAACCTGCGACGAGAGAAAGCGCGCTTGAGCTCTATACTGTTTCGAAATTAAATGCTGAATGTTTTGTGAGCATAAACATGGCATTTTAAACCACCGCCAGGCGGTTTGAGCTGAGCTTCTCCCCCGTATAAATCTCTCTG